CCCCAGAGGTGTTTGGGCACTGAACAGCTCCCAGGGCAGTGTCACAGCCCCAAGGCTGACAGAGCTCCAGAGGTGTTTGGCCAATGCTCTCAGCACAGGGTGTGACTGTCAGGGATGTCTGTGCAGGGCAGGAGTTGGGCTAGATGATCCTCAAGGGTCCCTTCCAACTCTGAATATTTTGTGATTCTGTAATTAAAATGTCATAGATTTGCCTTGGCCTCAACTACCCTTTATCTGCTCATGCACTTCAGAACCTTATAAGGATGTAAATAGTTTTACAAATAGCAAAGTAGTATAATTGTAATTTAACAGCTTTTAAAATTATATGTTTTTTGATATGATTCCATTCACCATTCTATATTTCTCATGATTAATTGGAAAACTTAATGTCCACATTATTGACATTTTTGCTTTTCTTAGTTCTATCTTAAAAAAAACCTTTAAAGTACTATGGACATGAGACACAAGTGAAAAAAGTGGGCGAACATGAAGCAGCTAAAAATGCAGACAGATATGCAGAAATAAGTAGTGCTTTTCTTTATCTGTGGTCTGCTGTGCATGCACACATTTACGGTGACCCCTTTGATATGAGATTTAATTTGCACCACTGAAGTGAGAGGATTTAATTCCAGCCTGCTTGTATTTGTAGATCATTCTAAAGTGCTTTGATGTGCTTAAGCTCACAATGAGATTAACCATTGCACTTGATTCATGGGATGAAAGAGTATCTACTATGTGAGTAACCACTAGTAAAATCTCTAGTTTGCTCTGTCAAGGGCAGAAGAGGCAATTCTTGTAGATGTAGTGCTAAATCACAGCTGTCTCTGACTGGTTGGGAAGGTTTGCTCCACCAGAGATGTGTTTCCTCACCATGACTCATGTTGACCCTGTTATTCCCACCAATGTAGGAGTAGAACCAAGAGGTTCAGGGAGTGACTAAACTTTTCTATTTAGCACTTGGGAACCCACAAGTGGAGTTTGATGGCCAAATCTCTCAAAAGTCTTTGTCATAGGAGAAGAGGATCCCACAAGTGGAGTCTGATGGCCAAATCTCTCAAAAGTCTTTGTCATAGGAGAAGTAAAATAGAGCATGTTCTTCCCTCTCTAAACATGCAGGATTTGCTTTTCTGCTTGAAATAATGAGAGAAATATAGAACTGAGTTGATAAATCCAACTGTAGTGGTCCTTCTGCCAAAGTCGTAATGGAATTGACTTGGCTTCTACTACAACTATAACGTGTAACCATCATATTTTTTTTTATCACCATACTGAAGAACATTGACATTTTAGAGTTTCAAGGCCTCCAAATCACACCTACACCAAGAAAGGTCATGCAATCTGTACATGTACTGTGCTGTCTGGTGGAACTCCTACAGAGCTTGAAGGAGTTGGCTAGAGGGATCAATGCACCAGAAATTCTGAATCTCACCACTGCATATAAGTGGCAAATAAGCAAGTAGCACATGGTTATTCCATAGACACACAAACACTTTGCATTCATTACATTTTCCCTTGAGCAAAGTTTAAGTAGGATTGTTCTGCTTTTCATATTGTAAATTCAGAAAAGGATGAGAAGGTTGGACTGAGCTCCCAATGAGATGGATAAGGTTATTAATATTGATGCTGCAAATTACCAGAAATTGGAAGGCTCAGAAAAGTCAGGATGTAAATTTCAAGATGAAAAAGTGAAATTCTCTTGCACTTGGAAAAAAAAATTCCCTAAAACCTTAACATCAGGCATTTGTTTTTTATTGTATCTAGAAATAAATTGGAAATGCCAATGTTTTATAGTCTCTTTAGCAATTGCATGTCACTGCATCAGTGGCAACAACTTCTGTAGCTAAGCATAGTGCTGTACATGGATTTGTCTTCTGTTATCATTACAACCACTATGATATTGTGTTTAATACTGTACACATTCACCTTTTTTTGCAGGCCAACCTTTACAAATCTGTTCCTGTGGCAACGGAGAGTCAGCAGGTATGTATGGCACAGCTGTGACACACTGTTGCTCAAAATTTGCACAAGCCAAAGCGTATCAATTATTGTTTGCTCTCTTAGTCCTTTGAAAAACACTGCAGGCAATACCCTCCTGCAAAGCTGCATTGCTTCCACACAGCTGCTTTGCTTTCCTCTGCACACACCTGTGTTAGGTAACTGTAAGTGCTGACACTGCTTGTAAACCCATGGACGAAATGATAAACTAGAGCCTTGCTGAAACTTGAGGTGTATGACAGCAATAGAGTCTGCTGCTGGTTCTTGGGCTCTTTTATTATTCCAGTTATAGAATCATGGAATCATCAAGGTTGGAGGAGGCCTCTAAGATCATCAAGTCCAACCATTAACCTGTCACTGCTGGAACCACTAAACCCTAAACCAGATCCTCCAGTGCCACATCCAGACACCTCTTAAACACTTCCAGAGATGATGACTGCACCACCTCCCTGGGCAATATCCCAGTGCTGAACACCCTAACAGGGAAAACATTGTTCCTTAACATCTAATCTGACTCTGCCCTGTCTCAGTTTATGACCATTCCCTGTAGTCCTCTCCCTGCAGCCATGGCAGGAAAGAACTTCTGCAACTTTGTTTGTATGCAATGATGTTCTGGCATATATATTCTTCTTACACACTGTTTTATGTCAAAGCTGCCCTAACTAGTGAAAAGCAAGGGTAAGAGCAAATAAAGAAAGGGAGATTATGTATCAGATACTCATTTTAGCTCTGATCACAGTTTAGTCTTGCCAGAGACAAACTTTCTGAAGGAGTCAGAAGGGAGTCATGGAGCCTATCCAAGTGACAGCAACCACTAATGAATGCATAGGGAAAAAAGGAGATGTGGATGAGAAATTTTTCCTATTGTATTTCAGCTAATGGAATCTTAGGGACTTTTTGAATCAATTTCTTCTACCTAGTATTCTTTGACTATTTCTTCTCTCATGATATTTTTTCCATTTCCTTTTTTGAATTTTGTTATTTTTTGGTCTCTATAACATTCTGTAGCAATAGGCATTACTTTTTAATTATACCTACTTTGAAATAGCACTATATTTCTTTGCTTTAAACTTACTACTTGAACATACCTCTTGTACCTAAACAGAAAATCATTTTTATTTCTTTTCTTTCTAAATTAGAGGAATGATTATCTAGGTATTAACAATAGTATATATCAGTTACCTCTGCTTCATCCAGAATTGTAAAAATGGTTCAGTCAGTCTTTGAGAAGTATTGATACTGTCCCATATCATTGATGATCCTTATTGCCATTTTCTATATATTTTTCATGTGGTTTTTTTGGGTTTTTTTGAGATTGGGAGACTAAAAATATAAACTGCTCTTGTATAGCTCTGAATACAGCAGTTCTTATTTGCATGATCACAGAATCATAGATTTTAAGGGTTGGAATGGATCTTACAGATCATCCAGCCCCAACCCCTGCCCTGGGCAGGGACACCTCCCACCAGAGCAGGTTGCTCAAGGCTCATCCAACCTGGCTGTGAACACTGCCAGGGTTGGGGCAGCCACAGCCTCCCTGGGCAACCTGGGACAGTGTCTTGGCCCTTTGTAATCTGCTGAAATGGCTGTAGACATATGGTGGCAACCCAAGGTTACCATAACAGCCTTTACCACTTTTTAGTGCTGTTGCAGGAAGACAACAGTTTCCTTGGCAAAACTAAATCATAGCTTGTTTCTCAGCAGTGTCAGCTGTGGTACCTGCCATCAGAGAAGGAGTTCAAATTTTTAGTTTTGGATCAAAGATTTCAATGTAACTTGTCAAGGACCTAATCAAGTATTTAGAATTCTGGCTGCTGCTCATATCTGTCACTCTGTTAGCAGAGTCAGACATAAACATATGACTCAGTCAGCACTTGAGTGCATGATGTTGTTTAGAAAATGCTTCCTTAAAAGCATTTCTACAGCAAGCTTTGGGAAGAGGTTTCTTATATAAGGAGAGGAGCTTAACCTTGATGATTTCAGCTACCTCAATGGGCTTTTAATTGCATGGTTACATGGTGTGGAGGAGTACTGGAAGGCCACATGTCCTGTGTCTGTGTAATGATGACTTGGTAACAACAGTGCCTTTCTTTTTCAGTTTTGTATTTACCTTTCTGTAGAAACCAGACATTATTACAGATGCTTTTTGGAAATGTTGGAGAGGAAAATAAGTATTTTAGGGTGAATCCTACAAAAATATAGGGGCTATAAATTCATTGTTAGGAACTGCAATGATAGGACAAGGGGTAATGAGTTCAAACTGAAGGAGGGAAAGTCTAGGTAGATGTGAGAAAAAAGTTTTTTACTATAAGGGTGTTGAGACACTGTCCCAGGTTGCCCAGTTACGTGGTGGCTGCCCCAACCCTGGTGGTGTTCACAGCCAGGTTGGATGAGCCTTGAGCAACCTGATCTAATGAGGAGGTGTCCCTGCTCAGGGCAGGGGTTGGGACTAGATGATCTGTAAGGTCCATTCCAACCCTTAGATTCTATAATTATATGATTAAATGAGCACTGCATCTTTCACTAAGTTGACCTTTGTAATGCAAAAGTTTTTAATGGAGCTTGGTAGTTATGGTTCTTCAAAAAAAATATAATATCACTTCATAGCTGATTTTTTCTTTCAGTTGAGTATATTTCTCATTTGATGAGGCAAATGAAAAGGCCTCAACCTGTGGAAAGGAGGGAGGGGATATTATATGATTAAATGAGCACTGCATCTTTCACTAAGTTGACCTTTGTAATGCAAAAGTTTTTAATGGAGCTTGGTAGTTATGGTTCTTCAAAAAAAATATAATATCACTTCATAGCTGATTTTTTCTTTCAGTTGAGTATATTTCTCATTTGATGAGGCAAATGAAAAGGCCTCAACCTGTGGAAAGGAGGGAGGGGATAAAATGCAAACTAAGGGAAGATATTTTGCTGCCTGGGTCTTGCTGTCCCCAGGTGCATTGTGCTTCTCCCTGTCTCTGCTGCCTCCACATCAGACCACAATGGCACTGCTTGTCCTTCCCCAGGGCAGAGGCAGAAGCACAAAGCATGAAGATGTTTCCTGCTCCTGCACTGTCCCCTCCAATGGACACCTCTCTTGCCCTGTCCTTGCTGGCTGCCTGCAGATCTTTAAGGTGATCCATATCTCAGTTTACATGCTACATCCAGCAATCTCAGCTGCATCATATTAATCTCACTTTCCTAGTAAGCTCCTCTTTTTTTGAGACAGACTGTTGAAGTTATTGCTCTTATAAACAGACAGCATGGTGTACATATTTATTTTAGAAATAAATTTAATATTGAATCAAGTTTCTTCTCTGGATTGTTACACCCAGATGGATAGTGAGTATGTGGAGCTGTGACAGCACTTATTTCTCAATCCCAGCTGGGCAAGCTGTCCATCTGTTCTGCAACCACAGAAGGAGCTCAGCAGCAGTCCTGGTGTTACCTACATAAGTTGTGACAGAGAACCCATATTTTCTGTGTCATAACAGAGAAGAATGCAACTGACTTACTTATAAGTTTAAATTCAATCACAGACCTTCCAAGACTTGAGTGCTTATGAAATTCCAGTGAGAAATTATGCTTTTTCTTCCTTTTTTTCTTACTGAACAAATTGTTTCAAAAGTATCTCTTAGCCTCCATTTGGAGCTTATGCCACAATCCATCATATCAGATTTTGCTGTAAGAATTTCAAAAATCACAGATATACTAAATTGAGAAATTAATAGTCAAATTTTTCGTTCAGTGGTAGCTAACCAAAGAATTTTTCCTTGATTATTTAATCTGATTTGCCTGAAATGAGGGGTATTGCATATCCATGCAATTCTCTAAAATTTTACTTTTCCAAGGGAACTCTTAAAGATCCTGCCACTCAGTCACAGAGGTGAGAGGTTCTGGTGCCAGCATGATCAGCAGAGGAGCACTCTGGTGGGATGCCCAGAGTGGTTTTCCAAGCCAGGGGAGCCTCAGAGGGAGCCAAGGGAGCTGTCATGACAACAGCAGTGAGCACCCTGAGGGAGGTGGGCACAGGTAGAGGAATTCTTCCACTCAGCGACAAAACTCTGGGAGGAGGTGGAAAAAAATCAGAGTATCAGAGAGAGCAAAAGAGAGATAGATGACTGGAATTGTACTGGAGGAAAGGAAGCTCAGGGGAGACCTTATGGCTCTCTACAACTACCTGAAAGGAGTTTGCAGCAAGGTGGAGGTCAGTCTCTTCTCCCAAGTAACAAGCAATAAGACAAGAAGAAATGGCCTCAGGGTGGGCCAGGGGAGGTTTATATTGGATATTAGGAAATGTGTCTTCCTTGAAAGGGCTGTCAAGCACTAGCACAGGCTGCCCAGGGAAGTGGTTGAGTCACCATCCCTGGAGGGGATTGTAGTGTAAAAGCTGTGTAGATGTGGTGCTGAGGGATATAGTTCAGTGGTGGATTTGGCAGTGGGAAGTCAACAGTTGGACTCAATGATCTGAGAGGCCTTTTCCAACCTAAATGATTCTATGTTTCTATCATTTGCAGTCCCTGAAATTGATAGTATGTCTCCACTGTTGGCACTATGCCTTAAAATTCCCACTCATTGGACACAGCATCCTGGAGCTATTTAAAAGATGTCTAGATGTGGGGCTTAGGGACATGATTTGGTTGTGGACTCAATAGTATTAGGTTTATAGTTATGATCTAAAATGATTTTTCCAACCTAAATTATTCTATCATTCCATGACTATAAAATGCAACGTGCAATCACTGGTATTATTCCCCAGAAAGGCTTTCCCCTAACATGTTGCTGCTTGGGTGTGAGTTAACAGCATCACATGTTGTCCTTTCTTGTTTCACCCTGAGCCCAGTGTGACAGCAGACTCGTGGCTGTGCATAAAGGTGACTTGAACTCATCAGGATTCAGCTGAGCAGCCAGCAAAACCAGCCAGCTAAACACACAAACCATAGTCTGACAGCTCAGTATCTACATTTTTGTCAGCAATAAACACACATCAGTGCTGAGGTTCTGTGACTAAAAACAGCTCTTGCCATTTTTGTCCACAAGTAGACCAGGCAGCATGACACCTGTATAATTTTGGAGGTGAAATATGTAATTCATAAAAAATCTAGTCAGTACATCCCCGCTGGAATTGACTTGTCTAACAAATGTTCTGTAAATTGTCAAGTATTTCATGTTATTTTGCTTCCATCTCTTTTCTCCTGGGTGTGTCGAGACAAAACCTGGTGTCATTCGTCCCGTGGTGGTGAAAGGAAAGAGGGCCCAGCAAAAGGAGGAGCCTTATCAACCCAATCCATTCAAAAAGTACCTTGAAGAAATTGGGGATCAAGATATTGAGCAGGTGAGTAAATTTCACTCTGAAGGATGTTGTAGCCTCAGTGGTTTCCTTAAAGATGAAGGAATAAATATAGACACTTAATTTGTCCTGATCCCTTCTTTTCCTTTTGGCAAAGTTAGATGATTTCCCAAGGGGCACCTGACTCCTAAAGGAGAATTTCCAAGCTGGGGATGGGCTGAGCTTTCTACAGAGGCGTTTTTTTTCTAGTGATATGAAAACTTGTCTGTTGAGGAGAGGACCTTTATAGGTTGTCTGTAGGAAACACTGTACAAAAGAAAGTGGAAATCCTGTGCTTTCCTGTCAAGGACATGTCTGCATCAAATCTACTAGCAAGTGCTTCCAGATAAATGGCTCTGAAAGCCTTTTCTCATGCATTTGTTTGTGTGCATTGCTGTGAAATAACCCTGGAATATGAGACACAGTCTCAATGTCCCTGTAGGAGTTTGCTATTGACCTATCCAGGATGTTTGGAATCTTTCATCTGGAGGGAAGTGAAATTAAGCCAATAGTTCTCATGCCATGAGGAGAGTAAAATACCTTACTAATTGAATTTCTCTGATTCCTGTGCCTCTCTGGTCACATTAGGGGGAGATTTTAGAAAGGGCAGACGTCTCTTCTTTTTATAACAGAATTTTATTAGGATTTTAGTTTTAGTTTTTCCATTCCTCCCCATAGCTCAGACTTGCTGCAGGAAAATCCCAGCACTTTTCAAGAGTATTTTCACAGCATTACAATCAGAGGAAAATTAATTGTAGTATTGGTGGGTTCCAGCAACACATATGAGTGGCATCAGAAGGTTTCTATAGAATGTAGAGTTTGTATAAGGGAAAAAAAAGAATAAAAATTAGTGATTTACAATTTGACTCCAAACCTTTGAGGTTAACAGTGAATATTTGAGTTCAGAAATTCCAGATGAACTCATAGTGCATTATTTGTGTTTTAACTTACTGAAAATCTTCTGATGCCAAGGAACTGTGCTGCACTGTGCCCAGGATGAATGAGGAGGAGAACTGATGTGGAGCTGCTGCTAGAGAACATCTGTTCTAGGCCACATAGAATTATAGAATCATAGATTTTAAGGTTGGAATGGACCTTACAGATCATCTAGTCCCAAGTCCTGCCCTGGGCAGGGACACCTCCCACCAGAGCAGGTTGCTCAAGGCTCATCCAACCTGGCTGTGAACACTGCCAGGGTTGGGGCAGCCACAGCCTCCCTGGGCAACCTGGGACAGGCTCTCACCACCCTCACAGTAAAAAACATTTTTTTCTTACATCTAACCTAAACTTCCCCACCTTAAGTTTGAACCCATTACTCCGTGTCCTATCAGTGAGCAGATGCTAGGCATCCTGCTCTCTGTTGTAGAGCCAGTGCTAATCCATTTGTCCACAAAGAAGAACTTAGCAGGCATTGACTGTGGCTGAGGGCAAAACTGCTCATACTGTTACTGATTTTCCCTGGTTTTCTTTGAAGATTTTCCCACTCGTGCTGGGAAGTTCAGCTCTCACATTTCTATTCTTTTTCTCTCACTCTGAATTTTCTTTTCCTCTCTTTCTAATGCCGTTGCTAACAATAACCTCCCTAGGTGATGCTGCTGCCCCTCCTTCACCCAGCTTGGCTTGAAAGGACAGACCCTTTCAGATTTGATGAGATTCCAGATGGCATCAGCTTTTTCATTAACTTCTCTCTTTTGATTTTTTTCTTAAACCTCTGCAGTACCTCCCCTCCCTGCCAAACCTCCCAGTGTGACACTGAGCACTGGTGACTATGTGGGTGACACTCAGTTTGAGACAGAATGATTCAGGGAGCTGTAACTGTTGACCTTCAGCTTCACATCCCTGTGTTGAACAGTATTTTTTTGCACACCAGAGAGTAGCCTGGTTGCTTTTCATTTCATTAAGAAATGTCTCTGTGTAGAAAACTCCGCGAAATAACATTTTTTTTCTTTAACAGCAGCTGTTCTCATGCAGATTACCTAAAGTAATGGCTAGAGAAAATAAAAACCTATCTAAATTATTAAAAATCATCTGGAAAGGATGTAGCTCAGCTCACAGGTAGCTTTCTTCATCTATGTTCTGGGTAGACTGTATATAGATTGACACTTATGTGCCAATAAAATTTATAAACCAGGGGAAAAACCCTGTTTATTTTGGCTTTTTTTTTTTTTTTTTGATGCTAGCATATGCTGCCACCTTTTTTTTTCCCCCTGAGGACATAAATAATTGATATCACTGGATATTCAGTGACTCTCTCTTCATCAAACACTTGTTACAGACAGAGTAGTATTTCTGAGATTCCAATCCAACAGTATTAAGCTTCCCACATTTTTAGGTGTCTTTACTGGAGATGATATTTTCCCCATCATGAGAATGAATTTCTTTCCTCTTAGTACATTTCAGTAACAGAATCATAGAATCACAGAATCAGTTGGGTTGGAAGGGACCACAATGGTCATCTGGTCCAACCTCCCTACTCCAGCAGGGCCAGCCCAGAGCTCATGGCTCAGGGTTGTGTCCAGAGGGTTCTTGAACACCTCCAGTGAGGAGAATCCACGACCTCTCTGGGCAATCTGTTCAGTGCTCAGGGACTGCACAGGAAAGAAGTTCTTCCTTGTATTCAGGTGAAATTTCTTGTGCATCAGTTTTTGCTGTTCTCTATTGTTTCCTTGGATTCCCCCACTGAGCAGAGTCTGATCATCCTCTTGGCACTTCCCATTCATGGACTTGAATCCATTAATGAGTCCCTCTCAGTGTCTCTTCTCATGATTAAATAGCCCCAACTCCCTCAGCCTTTTCCCATCACTGAGGTGCTCCAGTTGCTTCAGCATCTTCCTTGCCCTCCCCTGGACCTGCTCCAGCTCAGTTTCAGGACTTTTGCAAGTATACCTAAATATACTGGAACTATATGCAAGTCATGAGCAGTTCTGACATGATGACTTCATTAGGATTTTAATTTGAAATTGAGGGAACAGAATACTTTTGGGGAAAAAAATAGGACATTTTGTTCCACAATATTATGAAAACAATTCCAGTGTTAGAGAATTCATCTGCTTACAAATATTTATTAGCAGGA